TTTTTTTTTTTTGAGACAGGGTCTTGCTATGTAGTTCAGGCTGTCCTTGAACTCACTGTGTAGCCCACGCTGGCCTCAAACTCAAGCCAATCAGTGCTGGGATTATAGGCATGTGCCACCATGCCTGGCTTCATACAGATTCTTATTCTGGACTGACAGGAAGAAGGTCAGAGGGAGCAATAGAGCAGGAGATAGAAGACTCAGGGTTGCTTACTAACATTTATATTCACATTTTCAAGGGCAGAAATGCTAAGAGAGGAAGGTAGTTTGCTATTGTGAGCTAGCTAAAAAATAGCATTCACCCTTCTCAGAAACCTTGTCTGCAGAACTAGAACCTTGCTCCCTATTTACATTTCTTTTTGAACGCTACCTCCTGTACACTCTGACCTCACCTTTGAAGATATGCCCTATTCCTGCAGGATGCAGCTAACTCTTGTCAGAGGGAGAACAGTGGACTGACATCTGTGATGACAGGATCCTAGAGTGGCCAAGACTCATTTTTCAACTTTGATCCAGATCTCTCTGCCTGTTCACCTCTATCTAGGGTATACAATGTGTGGTTCCTGCTCCTCTGAGAGGCCCTTCCTCTAGATTCAGGTTCAGTCTCCTGAATGGTTGAAGGAGATGGTATGAAGCCCTTGTACTTTTCCCCCTTGACATTCACATGGTAACCAGGAGCCAGAGTACCTGAGTTCATATCTGCTCCTGTTTTAAATAAACAGATTATTTAACTTCTCTGAGCTTCATTTGGTTCATCTATGATTCAGAATAAGAATATCTCATAAGGAGTTTGTGAGTATCCGCTCTTGTAACAGTGTCCAGGGACATAGTAAATGTCAACTTTTACTTCTCTGTTTTATTTGTGCCCCACAGTCTATGCTTTTTAGCATTGGAGTGGGCACTAGACAATAAGAGCAAAGGAGCAGAATAGCTAGAAAGTAATTTTGCTGTACTTTATAGTAAAGTCCCAGAGTGTGTGGTGTTGAGAAGTGTATATTACATGTTTGTTCCTCCTTGTATATTAGCTATTGTATTGTCATTCTCCTACTAAATGTTACTGTTTATAGGCACATCTCCAATCCTTCATGTAAGGACTAGACTGTTGCTGGAGAAAATATGCTAAAATCCCCCTTTCCCCCATGTATATACTGTATTTGCCTTAACATACAACGGATATCAGAAATCACCACCTAGTGGCAAAGGAAAGAAGTCAAAGTCTTGGACAGCTGTGAACTTGTTCTCTGGTGTGTATTTGTCATTTTGACACAGCTGTACAGTTAAGTCCCCAAGAAGTCTCTGAGCTAAGTCAAATCTCTGCTCTGCTTTGCCGGGATCCAGGCCAGGGTCATGTTCCCATCCACAGCCCCCATCCCAACTTGGTGTAAGACCAGGCAGGTTCATACAATAGAAACTCTCTGAACACTTAGGCAGGTTCTCAGGTCAAGTAAAAGGATCCTGAGATAAAAAAACTGATTTTCAGAAGTCCCCAGTCTAAAGAAAAGTACAGAAACCAACAATATCCATTCCCTAAGTGTATCCAGTTGGAAGGCCCAGTGGACAGAAGCACAAAGGAAAGGTCTGTCATTGCAAGAGAGAGTGAAAGACCTTGAGGACAGACAATACTTGAGTGAGATGAGGAATAGCAGGAGCTTGTAAGGCAGACCTGGCAGGGTAAGAAGGCAACCAGGGAACAGCATAAACAAAGACAGGCATAAAATATCAGGGTAAAGGAGAACAGCAAACCTTCCAAATCTGCAGACAAATGAACATGTGAGGAGTGGTGGGAGACAGAAAACCGAGGCAATAGAGGGTCTTCAGTATAATGATAGATCATTCTGACTTGATTTGAAGGTGGTCTTTTCATGTCTGCAGTCATCAGGTTTCCCAGATGCAACATCAGGAAACCAGGTTCACAGGAAGCCAATTCTTAGGCTATTACCAAGTCCTTCAGGCTTAGCTCCAGCTAAGCTGGGACTGG